CGCATTGTCGAAAACGGAAAAAGGCAACGAATACACCATAACACTAGTCTGACTTGCCAAATATATGGTAACAATCCCGGTTACAGACAAAAGCGCTAAAACCGTAGCAAAGCCAATCTTCGAAAATTTTATACTAAGTTACGGACCCATCAAGACACTCGTAACGATTCAACGAACCGAATACAAAAATACCCTAACGAACGATCTATGTAAATACCTCAAAATTGGCAAAATAACATTAACAGCCCATCATCATCAGACATTCGACACGGTGGAAAGCAACCATCGAACGTTAAATGAGAACATCCGTTCGTATGTATCGCCTGAATTGAATGATTGCGATATTTTCGTTATATATTTTTTCAACACTTTCCACAAATCATAAATACTGTCCCTACGAAATAGTGTGTGCAAGGCCACATACCAAACTAACAAATCTCAACGAAAACGTTGAGCCCCTATACAATATGGACGATTACGCTAAAGAGACTAAATATAGATTAGATACAGCATACGCGCACGCTAGCATACTGTTATATAAGGAAAAAGAAAAACAAAAAATAAATTACAACAATTAAACTAATAATTTCCCACTAGAAGTAGGTAATTTAGTATTACTAAAAAATGAAATGGGACATAAGCTAGAAAATAAATGTTTAGTACCGTATAAGGTCGTAGAAATTAAGGATAACAACAACGTTAATATTAAAGAAAAAATAGTTTAAAACTATATAAAGAAGCTACATAAATAATCTAAATGAAAAAAAAAACTAAGTGTAAGGCGTCTATACAAACAAAAACTATTTTTTTTATATAAATATATATATAAAAGTATTTATAAGAACCTTATACAAAACACTAAACAAAAAAAAAATTTATATATTTACATTCATAACAAGACCACGGTAGAAGAAATAACATCGATAATTAATAATCCCAAGAACGATCATTTATTATTAAGATCATTTTTCCCAACAGGAAAGGTGTAGCATTATCGATTCATCGTATTCTACTTATTAATCACTTATGCTAAGTTTATATTTTCTTATATTTCTACATAATGTAAATCTAGCTACTTTATTATAATGCACATTTAATGTAATACTCTAGTTAAGATAACTTACGTCTGTGAAATTTTAGTAATAACCTAGTTTGAAACTTTACTATTTTGGTTAAGCTAGCACAACAATTTATTGCATAAGACACTGACCACAGTTTAGTTAAAAGAGAAATATGTTATAGAAGTCAATAAACAAAATGTGAAAATAATTATTAAACGGAACAAATGTTTGAGTTTCACTACAGTACAGATGTGAATGTGAAACAGGCTAAGACTTTATGTACTTTGTGGGGTTTTTGTAGCTTGCTCCTCCGCGTTATAAAGGCATTAAAAAGACGATTAAATTTTAACAGTTACAATATTGCGTAGGCGTGGTCAATATTTTCTGTTTTTGTACAGTATTGTGCGTAGCATATATGCTTTTTATACGCTTTTATACTTTTATTTGCTGTAGTTTATGAGTAACGAGCAGAAAACCAATATTTTATTTATAATGCAAAGGTATTTGATACAACTAATGAATATAAGGGCTTTCAAATCCTCTTATTGAACATCATCTTATTAAAGAACATCTGGTACATCTGTTATATATAGATATTTTATATATATAAATTAAAAATAATTTGCTGGAGTTATTGCCTTGTTTATTTATTTGACGAAATCCTCACGAATTTCTGATTAGTGGAAAAACAAGATCATCTCAAAAATTCATCTGTGAAAACGTCAGTTTTTAAATTCTCCTACGAGAAGTTACATTCTTGGTTCAGCATTACCTTGAAGCTCTTTAATAACTATAAATGATTTCCTTTCTACAATATAATATTTGGAGGGTCAGATGAAAAACCTACATCGTATAGTTTACGGAAATTGATTTTGCTATTTTTAATCAGATTTTCTTATCTGATGAGAATGTGTCAGATTTGAAAGTGTCAAACTATATGTCTGTCTTCAAATACTACGTCGATGGATACGGAGCTATACTTACAAAGAACGTCATCTTTTTTCAGCAAATTCCATACAAAGTCTTCTGTTGCTGACTACCATGGCATTAAATACAATATCCTCAAGGTTCTTTCCGTTTCAAGTTTGTCTGCATTATTGAATGCACTAAATCAATGTTGGACAAACAATGGAATTACAAGTGCTAGGCGAAGCATTAAAGTTGTAACGATCCCTAAGTAGGTTTTGATAGGTTCCTGTTCCTGTTTTTATGACGATCGCAAATTTCGAAATGAAGGCTAGACTTATGGGGTTTTTGAACACTCGAAATGTGATTTTTTCTAGGTCTTGTATGTACCAAAAACATATACCCCCCAATATATGCCTCCAGGTTTAATGAGAACCTTGGTATCTGTGAATTTTGCCCATAACCTGGTGCTAGGGTAGCTCAGCGGCTCCAGGTTGTATCCCACAAGACATTTCTTTGTTTCGTTCTTTGTATTAAATATCGTTGGAAGTATATCATAAACTAGTTTTTTATTAGTATAAATTCACTTTTAAAATTTGTTTTATATTTCTATTTATTCACAGTGACTCTGTTTTCTTTTGCTTTCTGAAGATGAGTTTTCTTTGTTCTACTTCAAATGTAAATTCATATTCTTAATTCAAAGACCTATAACCTCCATTATTGTAACCACAACAATTAGATCAAAACGTCCACTCTCTAACTCACCCTGCGACCAACTCCGGTTCTCTAACTTACTCTAGCACTGCCTAACCTGACTAAGCTTCGGCTTAAACTTATTATTCTCAACTTCTTCTGATTTCTGTTTACTCTAATTTCGTTTTACTTAATCCTAATTCTCTTAGCCTAACTTACTCTAGTACTGACAAACTTGACTAAATTTCGCCTTAAATTCATTATTCTCAACTTCTTCTGTTTCTCCTTTACTTAGTTCTAACTCTCTTAGCCTGACTTACTCTAGACGACGAAGAACCTGTGAGGCCAAAACAAGGGACGATTTGGTTCCTCACACTACATAAGTTACTATAAAAAATACTGTTATATTTTCAATAAAACTAATTCTATTCCAATTTGAAAGTGTACCCATTGCAAGTGTAAACTTGATGTCCTTATGTCTATGATTGATTTTAAAAGGAGTTCTCCGCAGTCACGTCTGCTACCTGTAGGTTAGCAAAAACTAAGGTCTAATGTCAACCGTGATATCACAATTTATACTACTGATGGTTCTGTTGGTCCTATAGTGTCCACCTTCTCTGTGGTCAAATACCCTGAGGTACTGCTCAGTAAATTCAAAGTTTTGGAAGGGCTAACTTGTATCTTTGTCAAAATTCAGGCCGTTGTTTCGGCCAGATTAGACGGCATTAAAAAATTCGTAGTCTTCTCTGATAGCAAATCGCCCTGTGTTTTGCTTATTATTTCAATTGTCTAATGCTCTTAATCAGGCAAAGTTTTTAATCAATTTCGTGAAAGTAGCTTCAGAAAGAACAATACATAACTGATTACCACTACATCTCTGCCTTCTAACAAAAGGAGACCTGTATGATCAATCTTTCTACAAGTCACCATATATGTTCGCCATTATTTGTGAAGTGGAAAGGGTCAAAAAATAGTAAAAGCTCATTACATTACTGGATACATTGGTCTTATCGTCAATTCTTTTAAATAAAAAAAAAAATGTAATGAATAAATAATATTGTATATTACAGTTCTTCATAAGCTGCAAAAATAATGTATTTTTCTTATTAAAGATAATTCCTTTTGGACACGTTTCTCAGTGTCTCTCTTTGCTTATGTGTATATTGAAATGTCAATCAAAAGTTAAAAATATGAAAATATATTTTGTATTGTCTTTTTTTAAATAGTTTTCCCTATTACGTAAGAGAATCTTTAGACTTTTTTGTATAAGAAAAAAACGTAGCGGTTTTCTATAAAGCGTATAAAACATTCACACTGAGTCATTACTGTTATTATTATTATGACAATTAATTTAGCCAGAGAAAAAAATTCTAAGACTAAAGACTTAAGGCACTAGCATCTAAGCCCTATTGTCTTTATTGGAAAATTTATCGCACTTGAAATTTGTACCCACGACCGTTGAGTCGTGCAGTGTCGATATATTTATCGCTATAGTAATTCACTGAATAATTCGGTTAAATCTGTATGCTGACATTGCTAACAAATTAGAGATGCCTCTGGCAAGATTTTACTTCACAGCTCATGAACTCTATCGCGATATTCGGGAACAGGATTATTTTTGTTATGTTAATACTTTTTTAGATATCAAATCGCTTCCAATGGCCTTTTCGACGGGTTTTTGTCGAGGTTTGCCTGATTGAAGAAGTTTACTAGTTAGCTTTTGTTAGGCATTACCTGAAATGCGGGAGAAAGGAACACAATAAACTTATAATTTATAAAATCTTTTTTTAAATTTCATTTTCTCTATTTCGTCTATTGTTTCTTTTGACACTTTTGTCCAGTTAATTGCTAATTAGAGCATAAAAGCAGTTCATTTTATAGGATTTTCTTATATCCTAGCGCCCATTGTGGTCGCACGATCGATCACCGGAATTTTACGCGAAAGTAAAAGATGATGGTGCAAAATGGATATAAATTGAAATTTTTTGTTTCTTCTTTATTAAAAAAGTGTTTTCAACAAATCTTATCTTAAGGAATATACAAATGTATTTACAAGAACAAAAACAAACAAGAGCAAACAAAAAAGAAGTTGCTGCAAAAATTATTTATATACATTTTATATACGCATATAAGCTGATGATTGATTTACACACACACAGAGAGAAATATGGTATGATATGACACGGTTCTATCACATAATATAAAAACAAAAAAGAAAATAGGAAAAAAACAAATCAAAATAAACGAAAAAGTATATACATTTATAGATATTACGTACTTCACAAAGGCAGTGATGCGACGAGGGACAGTGATAAATAAGAAAAAAAAAAAAAATGTGTAAAATAGGAGAAGACCCATAAATGATACATAAGCCCAGGAATGATACAATATTTTTCTGTTTGTTATGAATGGATATAAATAAGGGATACAAGCGTCTGATGAACTCCCTTCTCATCAAGTGAGAAAGCCGTAATTTTAATACGTAGCATTTTTACGTGCACGAGTTCACGTCACTTGCTTCATTAAATGAATATATGAAAAAAATTAATGTTCCTTTTTTGTTAAATAAAAGATTCGGAGATAATATCAACCACATGTAGAGTTCGGTTGAAATTTATCATGGCGCATGGAGTTCCTTTAGTATGTCCTAATTGAGATTGAAGAGGATCTTTCACTTACTGTAACGAAAGAATGTCGATATTTGAAAACAACGAATTACGAGAAGAATAGTGAGAGATATCTCTCCTTTTCGAACTGACATTACGCTTTCTTCGTAGTACGCTTGGTAAGGGTTTTTGTGGAATCTCGACTGTTGATGACCTCTGCATGGAAACCCGTTTCCCAGTCGGCGTAATATTTGACTGTGCGCACATTGCCATCTGGTTCAACTAGCGAGTATTCGCCTTTAACCACATCACCGTCCCGTTCTTCACGTTGATGTTTTATATCACCAGTGTGGGGATCATTGACGCCATATTCAAAGGCGTAACGGGGGTGATGATCCTTAAAAAAATATTGAAAGTACGTGAATATGAAGGACAGTAAAGAGATATTATAGAAAATTTGTCTATACTCACAAAGTATTCTAAATGATTTTCTGTTAAGATTTTGAGGGCAGCTGGTTTAACTGCTGGCACGGCTTTCAAGTAGGTTGCAGGTGTATACGCATGAGATGCTAATGCTGGCGTAGCTGGAGCGTAGCGATAAAATCCAGCACCATGTGGTCCTATTCCGCCAATACCGTGGGCATAACCGCTCAAATCGTCAAGGGAACTTTTTTGTAGACCACTGGAGGAGCCCGACAAGTGTATTGAATGTGCCAAAGGACCGTGATAGGACGCTGGAGACGACCCATATGTAGGATGGCCTATCGCAAGAGCTCCATAATAACTGCCTAATTAGGATTCACAAATTTAGGATATTCTAAACGGTTTTCTCCTCCAAAATATCATTTACCTGCGTGTGATTGTAGACTACCGGACTGTAGAGTTTTAATGTCTCCCACTACCCCGAACTTATTAGTTACTGAAGCCACGCCTTGTGAAACCAAAGGTATGACTGACTTAGTTAAGAAAGCACCGCCTCCGTACTGATGAGAAAGCAAGCCAATACTGCTGACATGTGAACCACTTCCTGAATATTTTCCAGCACCAGTGCCGCCATAAGCTGCTATTTTTGCTCCATATGTCAACGCTGGTGCCACTTTTGTGATTGCTGGTGCAGTGACTAAGGCAGCTGGCGCTGCAATATATTGGTGAGAAATTGCACCTTCCGAAGAAACACTCTTTATTGCAGACGTTTCTAAGGTTGCAGTTTTCGTTAATGCTGGACCAGCGGCTGCATGCGTTAACGTTGGAGCAGCCGATACTGCTAGCTTCGCGGGAGCCACAACAACTTGAACGCCATGAGTAGCTGGAGAGGGAGCCGCGTAAGCAAGAGTTTGAGGTGCCGGTTTTGAAAAATATTGGTGAGATATAGCCCCTCCAGCGCTCGAGTAATGGTTGGCACTATGACCTGAATAGGAAGAATCAACTTTTATCGCTGCTGGCGCTGAAATGTAATGTGATACAGGGGGAGCAGCAACTGCAGCTACTTTCGTAACCGCAGGGGCAGCGTATGACAGTAATTGCGCTGCAGGTTTAGAAACGTATTGATGGGATACAGCTCCTACCGACGCGGCAGAAAAATGACTGGCACCTTCGCCGGAATATGTAGCCACTTTTGTAATACTTGGTGTTGAAACATACTGAGTAACTGCTGGGGCAGCGACCGGGGCTACCTTGACCACAGTTGGGGCTGTATATGAGACTAGTTGGGGCGCTGCAACAGCGGCTACTTTTGCTATGGCCGAAGCAGGGTATGAAACTAGTTGAGGGGCCGGTTTTGAAACATATTGGTGTGATACAGCCGTTCCCTCAGAAGCTGTAAAATGGCCAACACCCTCTGCAGAATATGCTGCTTTAGCAAAAGCTGGAGCAACCGCTGGAGCTACTTTTGTTACGGCTGGAGCGACAACTGTCGCTGGAGCAGCGTATGAGACCACTCGAGCAGTAGGCTTAGAGAAGTACTGATGTGAAGAAGCTGGGATTGGGAATGCAGCTACTTTACCTACGACTGGAGCTGAAACATATTGAGTAACAGCCGGACTAGCAACTGTAGCGACTTTCGTCACCGCCGGAGCTGCATAAGCGACTAATTGCGGCGCCGGCTTAGAAACATATTGATGCGATACAGCTCCTACGGAAGCCGAATAATGGTTAGCATCGCGTCCAGCATAAACTGCTCCAACCTTTGCAACGGGAGGAGTGGAAACGTATTGAGTGAACGCTGGAGCAGCCACTGGTGATATTTCAGCAGGTGCAGCATAAGCAATAGATGGGGCCGGCTTGGAAATATATTGGTGAGATACTGCACCTCCAGCAGCTGAATAATGACTGGCGGTTTCATCGGAATAGGCTGCTAATTTTGTTACAGCTGGTACTGAAACATACTGGGGGATCGCTGATGCCACGGGAGCAGTATATGTTGCGACCTTGGTTACGGCAGGAGCGGCGTAGGCTAGTACTTGAGCAGGTGGCTTCGAAACATACTGGTGTGAAAAAGCTCCTTCAGTGCCGAGCTTACCCACTGATGATCCACTGGACAAAGTGGTGATTTTCGTTACTGCGGGGGTTACAATAGCTTGGTGAACAGGCTGCGCAGTGGCTATCGCAGCTATTTTTGCGGGTTGAACATGTGCTGTCACTTGTAATGCGGGTCGTGAAACATACTGATGCGATACTGCTCCCCCATCAATGTATTGGGCTCCATGAGTTGAAACACTCGTTATTTGAGCGGGAGTTGGTACATAATGAGAAGCAGCTGGAGCTGAAACATACTTGGCCGGTTGTGAGACATATTGATGAGACAGACCACCATATTGCTCTTTTGAATAACTGCTGACGTCGTTGCTGGATAAGTAAGTTTTTGTTAAAGAAGGAGCATAAGACAAAAGAGCAGCAGGTGCAGTGACAACAGATTTCGTGACGAGCGGTTGCGCCGCAAAAGTATTACCGTGGGCATAAGTGGAAAGCTTGGCTATAGTTGGAGTTCCATACGAAACCTTGGGTGCATAAGCATTAAATGGAACATATCCAGGTGAACTGTATGTTTCTAGTTTCGTAAAACCGGGGGATGATTTAGTGAATGTATATTCAGGTGAGGTAAAAGACTCAAGTTTAGTAGCAATTGCCGGCTCGTTGGCGTAGGTTTCTATTTTAGAAAACCCTTGCCCTGAATGGCCATAGGAATAACCGGGGCTTTGATATGCAACTTTTGCTGAAATAACAGGTGTTACTAGATTTTTAAATTCTATGCCAGAAGGGACGACAGCAGCATATTTCGAAGCAGGCGATTTATCAGCATATGTAACGCCACCTCCTTTAGCGTATGTTACTGATGGCTGATAAGATACGGTTTTTATTGGAGTCACATATTTAGTAATATCTAAACCTCCTCTACCATGGGAATAACCACTTAGGCCCGCTGAAGATTCATAGGAAACAGATGATGAACCTTCTGAAGCGTATTGATATTTGTCACTTTCGGAATGAGTGTACACGCTTTGGCTAGGTGTTACAGAAAATTTCACCTGCGGGCCATGTAAGGTGTAAGCCGCTGAGGCTGGATGTACGCAATCTGGTAACGAGGCGTGAGATAACTCAGCCAATACTGTGACGCAAAGGCACAGAAAAGGTATTATTGCCTGTATGGAAGAAACGCTAAATAAGTTCAAAGATAGATCCACGAGGCGGCGAGACGAATTATGATGAATTATGTTTGTAAAGTGTATTACCTTTTTTAAAGGAATATTTAAACGTTAACAAATGAAAAAACTATTTCCTAATCTAAATATGTAAGGCCTTTTTTATTAATTGTGGAGATATTACTAGACTGATGAGAACTGTATATACAAGAGTCTGATATTGTTATATCGAATTGGCATCTCATATAAAGGAGACATAGTTAAATTTTGTTATTATTTAAATTATTTTCAGCTTGTTCCTGTTGTCTCTTTTGTCATATCAACATCATGGTCTAATCACATATCGGAAAAATAGATGAATGAACGGAAGTAAGCGGATTGATCCAGAGACTTAATAATGCGGACTGTTCAGAAAGTTTGTAGCTTCATACATTGATTCTCAATGGAGATATAAATCTCACTTGTCACCTTCTGTTCCTCATTTTAATTAAGTTAATTTAACCACCTTAATTCCGAATTAAGAACATAAACTGCGGAATAACCAGATACCGCTTTATAAACTTCAGAACACACAAGGGCTCAAAATCGTCAAAGAGATGGCATTGATTTTTTATAAAATAGAAGAAAGCTTTTGAAAATTGTTATTTAATAAGAGAACGGATCAATTCACAAATAGTTTACGTGATACAGCGATATTGCGAATTTATCAAATTTAATTACTACTGTGTTCAAAGCTGAAAAGTATATCCTTACTCATATGGTTTCATATAGCTAAGATAATAATACGCACGAAAAAAATAGGATACATTTGTATTCGTTTCATTACTCGCTCAATTGCACGTAGACTTTTTGATCTGTTCCGGAGAATAGCATTACACGAATTATAATATTTGATTGGTGACGTAACATCACCTAACATTAAATTAAATTCTAAGGTAGTTAAAACGTTTCTCGAGTCCCACTTCGTAAACATATTTACACTAATTTACTCGCCATTTATAAATGATTTTAAAACAAGCTGTATCGGTTCGTTTTTTGGGAATAGAAGCGTATAATTTATCGATTGTTAATAATCCCGTTAATAATCCCGTTATTAAATAATTACTTTCTTCAAGACGCAATACCTTCAGAAAAGGAACATCATTTTATTAATGGCGCAATGAGCGCAGTCTACCGGCGCTAATATAAAGCCAGAGGTTTTTAACAGCAAGAGATACATTACCGAAAGATTAGTTTGATAAATGGTATGATTTTAGTCAATTTAAGCATTTTCTAAAGAAAGGCTTGCATAGGACCTGTTTTGTTTACAAAATTTTTCTGTGAAAAGAAACCTATCTAGAGATCATGATCTCAATTGTAATATTTAGAAATTATTTGTTATAAAGTTTTCTCGTTATGAAATGAAGTCATGAATTTCTTTGCTCGTCAACTAGACAACTCATGCAGATATGCTAGTCTGCTGCAGAACACAAATAAAGTAATGTACGCGCGTATCAAATGTGTTCCCGACGGGGCGTAAATTGACGATGAGAGTGTTTTTGCTGGTTAACTTAAGGAAAGCGTTTATAATATGTCGATGACTAATATCTTTTATTTGAATTTGTAATTGAATCGTTGTAAGCCCACTCACCTTCATATTCAATATTGATGATTGAAAAAATAAGTTCACTTGAAAATGTTTAAAATTTCAATTTCTCGTGTTATAATATTTACGTAAAATAATTCTTTAGATTTATGTACGTAAATTTGAGGAGTTATGTATGCGCTTTTTTGTAACAACCAACAAACACACACGCACGAACATAAACAGGCACACGCACGCATACACAAACACTGTGGCACTAAGTAAATCCTTATTTAATATGATAATGGATCTGTAATCCTTTAAAAATCCATTTGCACATGCGGGTATTAGAGAAATTTTTTTATTTTTTGCGTTAAAGACGAAAATATAAGCGAAAACGAAAAAAAAACAAAACCAAATCCTTTTTGTTTATTGAAACGTTTATCGTAACGATATAATAATAATGGTGATGATAGTTGATGTTGATGAAGTAATCGCATATAGTCGAATTAACCGTATGATATTATCGTTTGTGGAGCGTGTTGAGCTCCGGTGATGTAGAGCACCGCGAGATACTGATGGCCAGCCAGGCCCTATAAACGTTTATATACGGTCAAACGGACTTGCAACCAGCAACACATTAACTGAATGACTTACTGTAATCCCAGTTTGTATGTTGTGCGAACACGCACAATATATATTAGATATCAGATAAATTTGCAGCCAGCTGCCATACAGCTTCAGCGAAAAACACATGCATGTTTGTTATATTTGTTGCCGCCACAAAAACGACAACAGTTAAAATGTTTCTAATGCTCAAAATATGGTTTAAAAATAAGTTATCACTGGAATTGTATGTTGTATGTGTAAGATGTCGTATCGTGTCGATATACATACTTACACGCACAAAATCTAATATTCTCAGTTATAGCGAAACAAAAAAAAAAAACAAAAATATAGAGTAAGCCCAAGGCATGAAACGCTTGCTTTTATAAACAAACAAAAACAAAATAAACAAGTAAGAAAATTATATTCGGTCATTACCGAATCTTTTAGACCTATCATTATTATTCTAAAAAAGACAAAACAAGTAAAAGAGCAATACTTTCATGCTCTATAATGTGCGGAGTGGAGTGGTGCGGGTGATTTTTTCTATTTTTATAATAAAAGTTTTTATTATGTATGTGAACGTTGTAGGTGTGACTTTGAAAAGTTTAGGCCGCTTCCAAGTTCTTTTGCACATTTATAGGCGATATATTAATTTTCGTTGACAGGAGAATGTTTACCACAGATACTTTACAATTGTGCAGGCGAACAGACTGACATGTTTAGGTGAATTCCAATTGGAAGCCGGGCAAGAATATATAGACTCTATGGCGTTTTTGAAGCTTGTTTCTGCAGGTTATAAAGGTATTGAAACAAGATTAAATTTTGATATACTATAATATTGCGTAGGGGTGGTCAATTTTTCCTATTTTTGTACAGTAGTACAGAATCGTGGATAGCATATACGCTTTTTGTACATTTACCTGCAATCGTATAGAAGTAATGAGCGAAAAATTAATATTTTATTCCTTTTGAAAAACGGAGGTGTTCTCAGTATGTTTCTGCCAAATTAGAAGTCGACACTTTCATTTTTGCGGTCGAGAGAATGTTTACAACAGACATTACACATACGGACAGAGTCGGACAGACGGACAGACGGACATGCTTAAGTCGATGTCGAATTTAATGCTGATCAAATATGTATATGTTTTGTGGGACCTTTGGTGTTTCGTTCTGGGCGTTGCAAACGTTTTGATAAAATGAATATACCCCTCATCCTTCGATGATAGGTATAAAAGAAAAGAAACCAAAAAATTAGCAGAAAATATTCATAAAATGAATACTATACAGTCTGTAATATGTACTGTATTTAAGAATTATAAACGCTTCAATGTATTTAGGCTTAGTCGTTTTTCTCGCTGTTTTTGTTTCACATCATATTTAGGAGGTTTTCATAAAAAAAGATAAAGCAAAACGAACCGAAAAGCTCTTACAAGCATACACACGGACATGAGACTTGTAATTGCATTACTTGCGTCGCTACCATATTGCTTTAAGCGTGGAATAGTGCATTTGAGCTTGCATGTGTGCAGGTCTTAAAGATCACCTATACATAAATAATGCATATGTAAAGCGTAGTAAACAGCCTGTGCGTAACTATAATATTCGGCTTATTCGGCTGCTCTGCATTCGCTTGCGTATCTATCGATGTCGCTGTTAATGATGATGGTGGAGCGCTGCCCCACCTTCATCACCATATGTGGCAAATACTCAGACGCAAAGTAAACTTAAATTGTTTGATTTTAGGTCCAGAGTAAAGCAAATCGTAGATGCATATATGTATGAATGCATATATGTATGTATGTATGTATGTATGTATACATTTATATGTATACATGTATGCATATCTACGAGTACAAACTATCATATTTGGTTGTTTTGTTCAAGCTGTGATTATAATTTCTCGGTTTTGAGTTTTCGATTGTATTCGTATGCACGCATACGTATTTGGTGGTACATATGTAAATTATACACTTTGCAAAATTTTCCTTTAGGTAACGATAATATTAAACGTTTTTTCTTAAAGGCATAAATGAATTTTTTCTTTCGAATCGTTATACTATACGACGTCGTTATGCAAGATCATCAAAAGTAATTGAGAGTTTTTAATTAATTGATGGACGAGATTCTTAACTTTACTTATATGATCACTAATGATTGAAATGAAAGAGAGCTTTAGGCTATTAAATTTTATGCATTTTTGATAGATTTACGTAATCAATCTAACATGGTAACATGAGCTGTGCGAGCTCTTGCTATGGCACTGCATAAAAAGAACATTTTACTTCCAAGGGTTATCATTTTGGACTTACAACCCAAAAGTTTGTTTGTATGTATTGTCACTTATACTTATTTTCACCAGTTGCATTAATCGGAAGTTAATTTAGTTAGATGGCATTGTCATCAGCGATATATAACATTTTTGGTAGTTGAAGACCACAGGCATAGTAAAGGGATTAATATTTCTTTTGCTTTTTAACTAACTTTAACTAGTTTTCAAAGGAGTAAAAGTCGCTACGGATAAAACTGTGTTTTAATTCGGATAAAAAGTCGCACAGTAGACTTCGCTGTTCAAGTTCAAAGCATAATGATTACGTAATCAAATCAAAATAAAATTCGAAGTCAATTGGTTTGAACTTAAAATTAATTTTATAGATCGATTAATCGGAAAAAAACCTTGAGTTTTGTTTAAGACCTTAAGGCTTAATCAAGTTCATTCAGTAAAAAATACACAACACTTTCTATCAACTGGTCTATAATGCACAAACAGTTGGTCACCAGGTTTGTATCTTTCCCCTGACCTTTTTTAAGCTGTAAAATATATTATATAAGTGTATTACTCGTTAAGTGCTTTAAAGAACTATTAGACAAATTTAACGCGTAAAAATTAAAAAAAAATTAAATTGTATTTAATACTATATGAAAATGATATTTTCATTCATCTTTTATAATAATTCCGAGCTCAGAAGGCATAAAAACATATTCGCTAACCAATTATAATCACTTGTAGCATAAAATACGAGATATATCGTAGTTGGCAATGCATAGATTAAGCAAAGTTATATTGCGCAGATGTTGTGAGACAATTAAGAAACCGGTGGCACAAAAATATATTAATATTAAGAGAGAAGAATAATTATTTTAAGCGATTTATTTGTTGTTCATTAATTGTTGAATCTTCTTCATGCTCTGATATAAATTCTGGAGTGTTATTGACGGAATGCAAAGCAAAATGGTTTTTTTCTGATTTTCTTCTGCAAGGGCGATCAGTTCTCGGATGCATTCTTTTTTTGTTAATAAAAAGCGAAAATAGAGTCTTAAACAAATAACGAGTGCATATTAAAGTATTTGAGAATTCCTTATTTAACGATCTCTTTCTAAGTTTTAAGAGTGTTATCAGGCCGTTGACTGTTTTTTGTCCGTTGGATGTCTTATCCAATTTGAAAAGATCTTACGGAGCTCAAATTAAAAATTAACTAAAATTTTCTTTACTGTATTGTACGCTACACTGTAGGTTGTTGATATGTATTCTGAATTATATAACAAACATGTGTTTCGTAAAGCAAGCATTAAAGATATTTTTCTAAACGTGAATTTCGCACTTTATTCTTATTAGCAGAAAGAAAAAAAACTAAATATATATATACACGAACGATAAGTTCAGTGTGTAACTTTTATGATCGCAATGACTCCAACCCGTAAAGTCGTTTTGCTTGAAAGTTACCATTAAAAATTACTCAGTTTATTAATTTTTTTTTTGTTACACTATTTTATATGTACATATTTCTAAAACGAAATCTAAGAGAATATTAAAAAAAAATGAAGAAACTAATAAAAAATTTAACAACAATTTTAGTTCAATTTGCATTTTCTTTTGATTTTACATTACTTGGCAAAATATGCGTACGATATTGTGCATGTACTGTAGCATGTAATATGTAATGTAATGTTTTTGATATTTTATGTTTAAAATCTAACGGTATATCCGTCTTTGCACGGCCATATATACCAAAATATCTATTAATGCTTAGATATATATGTGCGAGTGTATATCATTTATTGTGGTTGCTGGCGCATTTAATATTAATTTATGTGAAACGTGTTTCTCTAGTTGAAGCCTATTGTAGAAAAAGAGGAGGTAATGGAAGGAATTGGCGACGGAGTAGAGTGGTGGGAGTGGTGGTGGATTTGCTTTACATTTAAAGTCATTACGATAGTAAATATCGTTTGGTTGAACTAAAAAATTTGATTATTCCGCTGCATATTTAGGAAGCTTTGACAAAGTATTAAACAATGCATTTGATGGAAAAGGGGAAGGTGCTATATGTATATATATATGTATGTTTATATATATATATATATTTATATAAATGTGTGTATGTGTATACATGTGCATATATATAAATGTGTATGTATGAACAAATATGAAATAAAAAATGT